CCCAAGGTGCTGGGAATGCGAACCAGAGCCACCTGGCAGGTTTACAGATGGGCGGGCCCAAGACGAAGGCCTTTGGCTGCTGCCGACGTCTGTCATCAGAGAATCATTTTGATTGGTCGTCTGACTGCCTTTAAACTGAGCCCTCAGCCTTGGTTCTCCGTGGGTTTTCCCCTGGTGTTTTAAAAAATGCAGCCCCAAAAACAAGTCTTTGGGACTGGAATTGTGGAATAAGCTGAGAGAACGCGACAAGGACTCACGTGAGTGTTGATTTGTCCCCGAAGTGTGTGAAAGCAAAGCTCCGGGCTCATCCCTGGCTGGTCTTCACCTCGCAGTGACCCCCACACTCCTTTCACAGGAACCATGTAGACGCTCTACAGGTCATGGATGTCCAGATGGTGGAAGCAGGGCCCTAGCCCTCGGCCTGTGCAGTTGCCACACAGCTGCCCAACCCCGCACTGAGTCCCGTGCAGTGAGCGCCGCTTCCCCAAGAACCGCCTGCACAGGTCCGGTGTGATGGCGAAGCGGGTGCCCTTACTGGCCACAGTCTCCAGGGCCACAGGTGTTAAGACGCCATGGCTGGCAGGGGTCCTGGGGGCACTTGACCAGAGAGCAGACAGCGCTGTGGGTCACAGGGGTTAGGAGGTGTTGTCCCGCTCTGTGGTGTCCCAGACAATCTGAGAAGCAGCACCAACTGAGTTCTGTGCTCCAGGTCTGTGACTTCTATCCTCTGTCCCTCCCTCCACCGGAGGGGGGGGGGCACTGAATGTTCCAGCTTTACTAAGGCCCCCATTCTGGGTCTGCCCCTTCTTGTGATGTATGTTGGGCCCAAGTAGGACACGCACCACCCTCTTTTGATCCCAGCTCTGAGCCCAGCATGGACAGGGTGGAGAGCTGTGCTTCCCCCAAGCACACGGGTTGGTGATGGGAATCAAGGGCTTTAGTTGAACTAAAGGAACTACTTCAGGAGAAGCCCAGAAGGTGGAAGTAGGTGCAGGAGTCATTGGTTTGGACCCAGGCCCATCCTCCACTGCAGAAAGGCAATGTCTGCTTTTTCTAAAATGCAATGAAGTATTTGCACAGGGCAACTGCCTCTGAGGACACAGATCGCCTTCCTTTCTTAAGAGAAACCAAGGCAGAATTAAATAGGCCCTGTGAATGCATTCAGTGTGGGACCCCCAAGTGGGAGGCAGCATTTATGAAGGTCTTTCTGGGGGCCAAGCTGGTGATGGCATGTGTATTTCATGGTTACATAATCCTGTTTGCTTAAAGTGCCTGCAGTAGGTTTCGTCCTTGGTCACAGTTAACAGAGAGATGTAAAACCTCACCCCGATCACTGGTTAGATAGAACCTGTGGCTGCCTTCATGCTACCACAGCAGATCAGAGTACTCCCAAGAGACTGTGGCTGCAAAGCTGAATACATTTACTCTAGCTATTTCTGGAATGATTTTCGGCCTCTCAGTCACATTGTCCCTTCCTTGGCCTAACTAAATGTCTATCTGATTTCTGAGCGGGTGCAGCTTACAAATGATCTGCAGGATGGATCTGTAGAAAGACCCATTATTCATCTGCTGATGATCAGTCATTACTCTCACCCACTCTTCTCTTTCTCCTCGTGTCACAGGAGAAATCACAGACTCAAACTTAGCAGCCAATTCAAACTGAATACTTCCTAAAGGGGCTAATATATGAGGAAAAGGGGCCACATGCTAACCTGACTAGCTCAGGGTAGGCCTGCGTGGCAGCCTTGTAAACTCAGAAACCTAAAGTAACCACAATGGTGTCTGAAATTAACACTTTTAATGATTATTTATTAAAAAATATATATTTTAGTGATTTTTTACAGAAAGGAAGGGAGAGGGATAGAGAGTTAGAAACATCAATGTTAAGAGAGAATCATTGATAGGCTGTCTCCTGCACTCCCACTCCTGGGGATGGAGCCTGCAACCTGGACATGTGCCCTGACCAGGAATTGAAACAGTGACCTTCTGGTTCATAGGCTGAAGGTCAAATGCTGAACCACACTGGCTGGGCTGAAATTAAAACTTTTTAAACTAAAAAGCAGTTTATGGTGGGTAATCATGTTCTAGGCCCACATCTTCCCTGACAAAGGTCAATCTTCACTATAATGGGTCTGCTCTATTGTCTTTTTGCATCTACAATAACATATCACTGGAATGTCAAAGTCATTTTCCTTTTTTTTGGACCCCTCAAAGGTCAGGCAAGCTTTGTGGAGACCACAAATCCCCTCATTATAATTGAGTTACTTATTGACAGTTAACTATCCTGCAGCCACCTCAGTAAAGACTGTATGTGTTTATCACTTTACTTTTTATCCAATCCCAGTGGCCTCCTCCCCCTCCCCCCACCCCCACTTTGCTTTCTCCTGCTTCCCTAATCTATCACCAATGGATTTCATGGAACCCACTTGTTAGGATGGAAAAAGGGCCTTTCTTTTTCTTAGCTGTAGCCTTCCACAATTTATGAGAAGCACCTGATAATTAAATCCCAAGACTGTTAGCTCCTCTGTTTCAAACAGCCCCTCTGTTCAAACTTACAGACAAGATAAGTGACTTCCTCCCCGCTGTTTTACAACTCAGGATAAGACACCTGCCTAGGCCTTCTGCCTGGACTATCTCCTGAGGAAATAACAGACCACCCCCTGCTGTGGGCTCCATTGCACCTAGCAACAGCAGCAGCCCCCAGGTGCCCCTCCCGTCCCTGCCCCAGGCTTGAAAAGAGTTTTGTTGTTCTTGGCCCTTGCATTGGTTAGCAATGCACTGGGGCTTTCCCTCTGGGAAGTGAAATAAACCCTCTCTCTGTATCTATCTCTTCTCACAGTTGTGAATTCTTTCACAGCCCAAATCACCTAGTCACGGGCCCAAGAACCCTATAGCACTTATGTCTCCTCTTTTGATTGTAATGTATCAAACAAGTGCAAAACGGCCATTCTCCAGAGCATGATCTCCCAAAAATTGTTTACAGGTTTGAACGTTTCTCACGTGAACAATACATATATTTGGGTAGAAATGATGTGACAGTGTGCATGTCCTTTTGGTCAGTTCAGGACAGATAACACAATGTGGCCCACGGAGGGGGCTGTGAGGGGAGCTCACCATTGTTCAACTTTTTTTTCAAAAAGAAACTGTCCGTGAGGCCCCTCAGCATCTGAGGGCAAAAGGGCCAGGAACACAGGGGTCTCCGCACCCTCTTCTGGGCTTTTGGGGGCTTGGGGTCCAGTCAGGTCGGTTCTCACCCACCCTGGGCAGCAGGCATTCAGGAGGATCTTGTCCCCTCTCCTGTGCGCACTCAGGTTCCTGGCGTGGATCCTGGACAGGACGGTGACGCCGATTTTCGTGACTCCGTAGGTCCTGTTGGGCCAGCCTTCCCTCTGGTGCACCCCGTTTCGTGCATCTTCCACGAACTTGTTCATGAGCCCCACCAGCTCCTCCTCGCTGATGGTGTCGCTTCTGAACTTCTGCTGCAGCTCCGGGCTGCAGTTTTTCAGAGCTCTGAGACTCTCCATGCTGGACACATTCACCACTCTGCCTGAAATGCAAAGGAGGTTGTTATGTAGAAAGGCAGGCACGAGAATAAAGGTGCCAAAAATGCTGGGATTCTGGGCCAGGAATTTCCATCTGAGAAATTTCCAGTGTGCCATGAGCACTGATGAAGACTGCCTGTGTGATGAAGGACGGAGACAGCCTAGAAGCCTGTCATACCCAGCAAGTCTCAGAGGATATCAGATAAATGTTTTTTTTTAAATATATTTTTATTGATTTCAGAGAGGAAGGGAGATAGATAGGAACATCAATGATGAGAGAGAATCACTGTCCAGCTGCGTCCTGCCTGCCCCACACTGGGGGTGGGGCCTGTAACCTAGGCATAGGCCCTAACTTGGAATCAAACTGTGACCTCCTGGTTCAAAGGAGGACGCTCAACCAATTAGCCAGTAGGCCAGGCTCAGTTTATCTCTTAATACTAAATAGTTCTGCAAAAACAGTTGTATGCCAGCTAATGGGACAAAATCTTGAATGTGTATGTCATGACTTCACAGGATGGACTATCTGTTTCTTTCCATCTCTCCTTAGCCCACACTGGCTCCTCCAAATGGCAGACATACTTGTGGTCCTGTGTCTGTATCTGTTATATAAATTCTATATAAAGTTTATACGCTCAGTGATCCTTTGGCTGAAACGGAGCAGGGAAGGGGGGATGGGGGGGTGGTGAGGCTGTGAAAAAAAAGGATTAACCTTGGCCAGAGCAAGGTTTGGCCTTTGCCTAGGGCTGCTGGGGTAAATTTTAAACTGTTGGACTGTTCATCTTAAGATTGTCTTGTTACCTTGGGGGTTTAGGGTCAGGCTACACAGTGGATGTTAACAATATGGTTATGGTGAGGCTACCTGGTATCAAATGGATCCCTGGGGGAGGTGCTGGAGAGGAAGGTCAGCCAAGAGAACAGGGGGCCATGTCCATGAGACCAGCCCTCAGCAGACACACCTGAAACAAGGTGGGTGAGCTTCCCTGGACCGCAGTGCTCCCTGTTACTGTCACACACACAGCTGCTGTCCGCAGGACTCCATGCGACAGGACAGCCGGAAGCTCCCTGCCCGGGCTTCCCTGGCCCCTGAGAGCTCTCCCACGGTCGACTTGCATCACTCTCCCTTTCCTCTACTGCTGAGCACTGCGGTTCTGAGTATAATGGCTTCCCTGAGTTCTGAGTCCTTGCAGGGATTCTTGAACCTGAGGGTGGTCTTGGGGAACTGCTAAACTTGTGAAAACCAAGTGATGACTATCTCCGATATGCATGGTTGGTTTAGCATCTCGGAACCAATGAGTGCAACACCCTTTATCAGTAGAGTACAAAGAAAGGCCTGTGTGATCAGATGCAGAAGAGTTCAGGGGCCTAATGAATTGGATCGGGAGGAGGGAGGAGGGAGGAGGGAGGATCTGACCTGGATCCTCAGGGGACTCCAACGGTTGTGAGGGACACGAGCAATGACTGGCCTCTCTGAGGAGACTCTCAACAGAGAGCTGAAGGATAAGCAAGTGCCGGTTGTGCAGAGACCAGGGGGACAGACAGCAAAGATAGCCCAGTCCTGAGGCTGAAGGGCAGCTGGCCTGGTGAGACACCAGGGGGCAGTGCCGCTGAGCAGGGAGCAGGAGCAGGAGCAGGGAGGGGCCTGGAGATGACACCAGGGGAGGGCAGGACTGGATGCTGCCACAAACAAGGCAGCCAGGGCTCCTAGACTCACCTTGGGGTTTCATGAGAGGCAGCAGCTCCGTGCAGACGTCTCGGGTACCAAAAAAGTTTGTTTTCATCGTCACTTCTGCTTTAATGTGAAACGGTGTGGGATCATTCACTTTCAGGAGAGAAGGAGGGTATAGTTAATAAATAGTAGCCATGTGGTACCATTCCATAGTATGACATAAAATGTGAATTTTGGCCTGGCCTGTGTGGCTCAGTGGTTGAGCGTCGACCTATTAACCAGGAGAAGTCACGATTCGATTCCGGATCAGGACATATGCCTGGGTTGCGAGCTTGTTCCCAAGTGGGGGACTTGCAGGAGGCAGCCAATCAATGATTCTCTCACATCATTGATGTTTCTATCTCTCTCTCCCTCTCCTTCCTCTCCCTCCCTCTCTGAAATCAATAAAAATATATTGAAAAAATAATAAAAACAAAATGTGAATTTTGTGTAGAATTGGCGCCCATGCAGTGACCATTTCCTTGTTCTCTGATGTTCTATAGTGTCTGAGATGGTGCCATTCCTGGAGGCTGGTGAAGGGTGCACTGTGGGATCTCCGAATCTGTTTGTGCAATGTTCTTGTTTATTTAAAAATCCATTCAACATTCACTCAAATGCCCTCAAGGCTAAACCGGCAGAAACGGTGACAACCTAGAGAAGACTCCCAAGAACAACAAGGTCCTTGGGCCACAAAGCGCTCTAGCTTCTCTTGCACTATGATCTAGTCACAGCGGTTCTCAACCTGTGGGTCACGACCCCTTTGGGGGTCCAACGACCCTTTCACAGGGGTTGCCTAAGACCATCAGAAAACACATATATAATTACATATTGTTTTTGTGATTCATCACTATGCTTTAATTATGTTCAATTTGTAACAATGAAATTGGGGGTCACCACAACATGAGGAACTGTATTAAAGGGTCGCGGCGTTAGGAAGGTTGAGAACCACTGAGTGGCACCGTGCCCCCTGCCTCTCCTACTCCCCTCGGGAGCCATCCTGCACCCCATACACGCGAGGAGCCCCATTGTACCGATTCCCTGACATACCAGCCACCCTGGCTGGAGGTGCTGGGGTGTCCCCCCTCCCCCGCTGCAACCACCCAGCCTTTTACCCGTGAAACCAATAGCTGCGTTGTTGACCAGCACGTCCAGGCCCCCGTACTCATTGCGCAGGAAGTCGCGCAGGGCGCGGATGCTCTGCAGGTCCTGGATGTCCAGCTGCTGGAAGCGCGGGCTCAGGCCCTCGGCCTGCAGCTGCTG